ACCTAGTCACCACATTGCTTCGAATGTGTCGAAGGCAAATCCGGTGATACGCAGTGGGTTCTTGCCAATCCGGTAATGATTCAATCGCACTGCGTCGGCCTACATCTCTGTCAGAAAGAACGCATATATGTCTGTCGAATACAACATATCGCCGCAGATTCCTAAGGAAAAATGACCAACTGTCCGTGCTTTCTTCGTCGACAAGCACATACGCGATTGGCAATAGTCGCTTATTCGCAGTCTGTGCTACGACCACGAGCAATTTTCCTTTGTAATGTCCACGTAAATGTGTGCCATCGACGCTAATAACCGGCGGGCACATTTGAAAGGTTTGAATCGCGCGACCAAATGCCCAGAACACAAATTTGAATTCTCTGTCTGGAACGTGTCGCGCCATATCACCACCCTGAAATTCCCAATCTACAACTGTGTTGGGATTCGTTCTTTGATACGCGTCAAAATATCTGTACAATACAAAACAATTTCATAAATAAATAAACATAGTGACAGACAAAAAACAAGTATATTTTTAATTAATTTTTGCTTACTGAGGGAGTTCTACGAAGTTCGACTCCCAACTGTCGTACACACACTCGATTGCTTTTTTCCTGCCGTGTCATGCCTTCTTGTAACTGACGGCGACTTTCCAACACTGTTTCACATCAGCCTGCACCATGTTAACATTGCACTCCACTCTCTTCTGAATATTATTAATTATAAGATTCGTAATCATATGAGCGGTCACGTTTCTGTGGTCATTTCTGTCGACCTATTGCATGCAGGTGTGTTGGTCAGTCCATTCAGTTACTTCCCACAAATCATCACGCCGTCTGGACTTATTCACCCGAGCCTTCCACAGACAAGGCACATCCGCATTCGATCTGCAGACCAGTTTGAATGACTTCTGACTTGAATCTTTTGTCCAAATCACCCGCAACCTATCGACGTTCCAGGCCATTAGACCCATTTAGGCTTCTTCCTTTCTCCGAAAAACTGTACCCAAACGTACGGTCTCAATGTCACCATTCCAGAGTGGAATACCATACTCATTCGCATCTATCCTGGACGGGTCCCATTCACCCATCTCGCGGTATATGTGCCGACCACCACTAGGAAATGGGTGTTCTTCTTCGATGAACTCGGGTTCACTCTCCTCATTTACTGATCTATCTGATTCGGTTTCTGAGGTCTCGTCTGTGAAATCATCTTCACCGGGAATGAAATCTTCATCAATATTTTCTCTGTCCTCATCCGCCGCCCATTCTCTCGATGTCCCTTCTCCAAAATTATGTAGATGAGAAGTCGACGTACCCTCGACATCAAACACTCCCCTGTAACAAGAAGTAACATCCTCAAACTGTGTAACGGGTGTATATGCCTGCAATGATAAATGCAAATACACCATAGACATACGAGAAAAGTAATATATCCATTCAAAACTATCATTATTGAGTATTGCGGGATTTCACTAACAATCAGGTTGGCTAATTATCATAGTAATCTCTTGAATTGTCCAACCTTCTTCAAACTGACATTTTGCATTAATCATTTGTACCAACTGTTCATATGATATCCTCCCCAGAATAATAAATGAACCACTCAGATGATCTTTAAATAAAAGAAAATCACTTAACATTTATCCCAAAATGCCAGTACAAATTAACAAGGTATAGACCGGAATAGGCCATTTTATACTTGTTGCAAAAAACACTTTCAAATATTTTTCCAAAAAAAACTCAATTTTTACTCCAACGAAAAAAAAAAATAGTCCCAATCAAATAATCCTCCAAAACCTAATACTCATAATCAAACAATAACATAAAATTCATCTATAATTCGGATAAATTGAAAGCCCTAATTCTAACCCTATTTTTGAAAAATCCTAACCCCAACAACAACCAAACAATACACAATTGACAATTTACACACAAAATTTCAATCCTCAATACAACATACACACGTAATCGATAATCAATTAGCAATTTTCAATCTTCAAATACCACCACATTCAAATATATTATACCAATTCTCAATCTCCAAACAACTTCAAATAATGTAAAAAATAAAGATAAGCCAATATGCCTCGTTCGAATGAATTAACCGGAAATGAGGCTCGTGTCGGTGTTGTCGGTTCACGCCGGGATGAAGATTGGATCAATTTTTTTTTTAACAAATGAAATCGCTGCTTGTTCTTTTTTTTTTTTTTTTNNNTTTTTTGCTTGGTGTAGCTTGCTCTCTGCTCGTAAATGAAATGGAGAGGAAGAGATTTTTTTGTTTATATTTACTTAAAAAAAACGTATTCTGAGAATACGTTTACCGACAATTTAATTGTAAAATGTATTCTCATAATACGTTTTATTTAAATATTATTTCCCTATTTTTTTTATTAAAACGTTTTTTTCAAAATACGTTTTATAAAAATACATTTTACATTTTTTTTTTAATATTTGAACTATAGGGATTTTTTTTAATTTACAAATATAATTGTAAAACGTATTCTCGGAATACGTTTTTTTATTAATTTTTTTTTTTAAGAAAACGTATTCTGAGAATACATCTGTTTTATTTTAGTCGACTCCTTTTTTTTTGTCCAGTTAATTTTTTTTTAAAAAAAATAAATAAACTACCCATCTATGTGTTTTTAGTACACTATTATGGTCTTATTTCTCTCATAGTGAAAGTTTATCAGCTACCTTGTAGAGAAAATTCCAGAACCTGCCAATATGATTTTCTGATTAACTTCTGATTCTATCTCCTCACCGTCTGTTGTAGGGAAGACAACAAAGGTAAATTGTTTCTGTGCATTTTTCAGGAGTTCACGTATTTATGATTTTGGCAAAACTGAGGAAAAAAAAAAATAGTTTTTGATAGCATGATTTTTGCTCATTTTTTATCAAGTTGAAGGAAGTGTTAATAGGAGGCAACATTTAAGCCAAGAAGTTTGCCTCATGAAACTTTTAGGGTGTGTTTGTCTATAAATTTTTTCAATCCATACTAAAAAATCTTCCTCAATTTTAACTCAATTCTACTATCCTCAATATTATCAATATATTTAAATAATGCCAATCAATCATTATTACACATCATATCAACTTTAATTCACTATTCATCCACTCACATAATTTTAACTAATCATCACTCACATCTTCTTTCTCCTAATTTTACATAAAATAAACTTTAATTATTTTATTTAAATATTATATTAATATAAAATCAAAATTTCACTAACAACTAACTTTACCACCTTTTTCGGCTTTGTTTGGTAAAACTAATTGATAAGCTAACTTATAGTTTTTTTTTTATTATGCAACCCTATAACATAAGCGCTCCCCGATGGAAGTGGGCATCTAAGGAAAGGGATGATGGCATTGCCCGCCTTCTTTAGCCAAAGAGATTCGAAATTTGAATTTGCGAAGCGGGGTGTCCTTTTTCTCGGACCCTTGAATCCAAGGGTACCGGCTGAGGACCAGGAAAGCTTATAAATGATTTTCGAGCTTATAGCTTATATGATTTATAGCTGAAAAACTAACTTATATATGATAAAAGTGTTTGGTAAAATTAGTTTGATAAGCTAGCAGAAATATAATTTCAACGAGCAAAGCTACCCAAAGAAGCTTTTGGGCTAACCTAAGCTTTTTAAAAAAGCTCGTCCTACCAAACGAAGTTTATATAAATACAGGAAACTTATAAACTAACCAAATAAACTATAAGCTAACTTACTTGTCCTCCAAACATAACCTTCAATATTAACTATGGTTAACAAAATAAACTTATTTTGAGCGGATATATTTGTATCCAAGCAAGCTAGTCATTTTGTTTTAAGTGCTTCAAAGTTTCACTCTACCATAATTTTGTTACCTTTCTAAATGCAGGTGCCAAAGGACGTTCTTTTGCACATTCTTGGTGAAGATCGAGTTACCAATTTCGTAATTCAAGAAATCATCAGCATTATTGTGGTTGATTATGTGAAGAAGGTAAAGCCGAGTCACCCATCAACACACGTTCTTGATTAGCCAAAGCGAACTTTTCCCTCGGCGAAATTAGTTATATTTCCCAGAAAAATCTAACCGTCAAGGACAACAAGGTATTCACCATCCATACTGCATCAGAACTAAAATCAGCATTTACCCTCGGAAGTAAGTTTGGGTTTAATGTCACAATGGAGCTTGAAAAATCGAGTATGAGTCCAGCTAACTGCAAATTATGGAGTTACTCGAGGCAGGTTTCAATGTGAAGAGAAGCTAAGAGTAGAGCTAAGACTTTTTTTGTTATCGAAAGGAAGAGTTATTGCTCATTTGTTCGCATTATCAATTTGTACTATAAGATAAATTGTTATAGTTTGCAAAATTCACTGATATTGGTGTTGTTTTGTACGATCTACAACCACAAAG